CAAGTTCTGATTGTGCAAAGGTCGTGTTGGCATTGCTGTTCAACACGTCTGCAGCCGCTCGCTCATTCACATACTGTCAGGCAGCTGTGACATTTAATGGAATCTACACTGAGCAGGGAAAAAAGCAGCGAGCAGCTAGGCTAATGTTGGGAAGATTAATGGCTTCCTGCAGGCATTTGGTGGAAACTTGCATGGGATGGACTCGGGTAAGAACTGGCTCTCAAACAAGTGGAGAGAGAGACCAACTCCTAATTGGAGTTGAGGTATAGATCAACCATGATCTAATAGAAGGGGAGAACAAGCTCGAGGGGCTGTTCACATGCTCCTATGATTACAAAATACGCATGCAAATAAAGCCAAATGTTTGAGCAAAACACAGTCAACCCACTTGACAATATATTCTGTGAAGCGCTTTGAGACGTCTCGAAGACGTGATAAGGCGCGATATCAAATGCAGGATTATTATTATTAAAAATCTGCAAAAAAAAGTAGATTTAATTGTCTCAAACGAACCAGTTATTTCAAGTTTTTTGTTGGAGATCACAGGATAGGGACAGCCAAAGAGGCCTTTAAATCCGTGAGGAGGGTATAGGGATCCAGACAGAGTACAGGTTTGTGCCACTAATTTGCATGACCTCTTTGCACAACGTGTCACTGGTCTATTGCAGGCTTCACCTGATCCACTGCCACAAAACAGGGTCGTGGAGCCAATGCTATATCCTCTTATCAGCTCGTGAAAACGTGCTGTAAAACATGGCACAAGACTTCAGTGCTTGCAGAAGATTTTGCTGCTAATTAGGATTAGGGCACACAACGTCGATGCTTAGAACCAGATAAGGAGTGTTCTGCTCACCAGTGGATGGGTCGTTATCCATACCTTTACTTCTTGGTTTCTATCCGTTGATCTTTTGATTTACTTGATTAAAAGAAAAGTGTGAGAGACAAGGCAGAACTCCTTCCTTCAGTGATCGTGGCTTTAAACCCACCAGGTGGTCTGAAAGGCGGCTAAAGCCAGAAGGTGCTTGAGATAATAATAATACTTGCATTTTGATACAGCATCTTATCACATCTTCGAGACGTCTCAAAGTGCTTTACAGAATGTACTGTAAGTGAATTGACTGTGTATTTTGTGGGCGAAACGTGGCAGACAATTGCGTAAACAGTGTCCCACAATTAGTCGTGGATTGAGTGACCAATTTATTATTTCGCCATGCAGGCAAGAGGCTGACACACAGCACAGCAATCAAACTGCTGGAATCTTGTGTACAGTTTTGAGCACCAAATCTTAGGAATGATATATTGCCCTTAAAGATTTACTAGAATGATTCCTGTTGTCGAGGGCCTAAATTACGATGAAAGGATGGAAAAAAAACTTGGATTGGATTGTCTCAAGTTCAGGTGGCTGAGGGGCAATCTGATCAAGGTGTATAAAACTCTAAAGGGATCCGACGGGCGAATAGTGAGCAACTTGTTTCCTCTGGCAAGAGAATGGAGGACTAGAGGCCATAGACTTAAACTTGAGGGTAAACCGCTTAGAAGTAAAAAAGGAAAACATTTTTCACAGAGCAAGTGTGGAATTCACGCCCCCAATTGAATAATTTAAAAGGCAAACTGATGAATGCTTGATAGACAGGGGTATCAGGTGATATGGAGAGAGAGAGAGGAGAGAGAAAGAGAGAGAGAGAGAAAAAGTGGGGGGTGGGGGTTGGGAGGTGGAATTGAGGTGTGGATTGGTCGTGATTTGGGAAAGTGGTGGGACAAGCTCGATGGGCTGAATAGCCTACTCCTGTTCCTATAGACCTTAATCCTGCCATTGACCTATAAACGGCAGAAAAAGATTAAGCACGACATGTCAAGCGACGACCAGGATGGTGCAATGCGAACTAGATGGACCTTGGTCTTCTTTTCCAATAGCAAATCCTTTTGTTCTTATGTAAACCCCGCTGATCGTTCAGCCTGGTTATCCTGAACTCTGCCCAAGAAAGAATTCACCTTCAAAGCCCTCCACAGTCTTGCTTCCCCCTACCTCTCAGACCTCCGAATAACCTACCACCCTGTTCGCTTTCTCCACTCAGTGGGCTCCATCTGCTTCACGTCCCTCGCCTTACTCGCCCCTCCGCCACTCTGGAACTCCATCCCGCAGTCCCTCCATCTCGCCCCCTCCCTCACCACCTTCAAGACCCACCTCAAGACCCTCCTCTTCGACCATGTTTTCGATCTCCCTGCTTCCCCCCCTGCCCTCCACCCTTGCCCACCCCGACCCTCATCTCGGAGCCATAACTCTGTTCATCCAGCACCTTGGGATGTCCTCTTGACATGAAAGGCGCTGTACAAATGTAATTTTGTTGTTGTTGTTGTTCTCAGAAACCTGGAGTAAAACTATTGAGAATTTCTTGTGCTGCACGCTTTTCCGAGCGACGTAAAGAGCGGTGCGGTTATGTCCCCATTGCAGCGTCCGGCCGTATGGTCCAGTATATTAGATCCCGAATGATCCTATTTACAAGGTTAATCCTCAGGCTCCAATACTCAAATGTCAGCAGCTGAGATTCAGCTATTTCATCTGACTGGCAGAGAACCAGTCTCTTGAATAAATCACGGGCAATACATTTCAATCTCCTCGCGTCCAATACTGCAAATAGTACACAAATGTGTGCAGGGCAACAGCCATTCTGTGTGAATCTCTATGTGCAATTGGCTGCCGTGTTTCGCCCACAAAATTCACAGTCGATCCACTATATTCTGTGAAGCCCTTTGAGCCGTCTCAGAGACTTGATATGGCGCTATATAAAATGCAAGGATTATTATTATTTTTATCGTCAATAAATGAAGTGGTCACACTATACAACAACACGCAATCTCTAGCGTTCCTGTTTTTACAAGCCCCGAATGATGGGAATCGCAGGGCAACTCTCCTTGAATGGCACAGATGCGCAGTTTAGCAACATCTGTACGGATTATTCAGCGGGAAGCTCTTGGACTGAATCCCTGGTTGTTTTAATTATACAAATGAAACCTTCAAACCATCACAGAGCGCAGAGGGAGAAAGAAAGAGTCTCTGCTGTTTCACCTTAACATTTGAGTTTCTTTCTCCACACAAACAAAAGAGAAATATATATTAATATCATTATTTGGGGAAGACAAGTTTGCAGGGCTAGGGGGAGATAGCGGGGGGAGTGGGATTGATTTGGAAGCTCTTTTCAAAGAACCGGCACAGACACGAGGGGCCGAAGGTCCTTCTTCTGTGCTGTATAATTCTATATTGAATGCAAAATTCGTCATCACTGGTTCCAAGCAGACAAATGCAGGACATGCCCTCAGTCCTGAGGGACTGAATGGAATCTCTGTCAACTTACAACTGACTTACTGTGAATATTAGACAAGAATAGCACAGCCTCAGCTTGCACTGCTCCTTATAGTTACAACATTAATACAGTACAGAGCGGAGACTGCTGCCGACATTACTGATGGGAACGCACTTCCCCATGGTAGGAGGAGGGAGACTGCGTGCACACCGCCCCGGGAGGATTGGGGGAGGCTGTGGAGGGAGGGATTCAGAAGGGAAGTTGTGTGCCCATAGACTCCGGTGTCGGGGAGGGGTGGGGGGTGGGGGGGAAGGATTACTGCCTGGGGAACTGCAGGGAGACAAACTCACGGTAGAAAAGGGAGCACAAAGCGTATTATCCCATAAACCCCTGTGATAGGTTGACCCCGGCACTCAAATCTACAGTTAAGCAGCTTAAGTGTCCGTGTATCAAATGGGTGGAGCATTGGCAATTCACCAAATGTGCCACGAGGCCAGGCACACAGCCCCTGTGCTCCAGCCCCCACACACGCACACCCACAGCCCCCTGCACCAGCCCACACACATAGCCACTGTACTGCACTACACACACAGCCCCCTGCACCAATCCACAATTCCACTTCTGTCCATCATTTTTGCAGTCCATACAAGCCTTGGCTCTCGCCAACCTGCACCCAATGCTCTCCAGATTTAGGTCAGCAGGGTGAGTCCCTCCAGGGAGAGTGTGCGCGTTGCATCCCATTCCATATGTAGGGAAATTTCCACGTGTGGGCGGCATACAGATGTGGAACTCTTAGTCCGACTTAAACACTCTGAAGCACAGTGATGGGTTTTCGCTTGCATCAAGATACCCGAAAAGCTGAGCAAAAGAAATGCGCAACACGCTTGTACACGGTCACAACAGACTTGTTGCTGTAGGGCAGTTTTGCTGAGGAATAGATAAGCACTTGGCACTGTTAACGGGCTGGTAGATTTTAGCGTTGCCTCAGGGAGGGTCCGATACCTCACAGGAACGTTAGCTGCGGCAGCTCAGCACGGCCGGCCATGTAATGAGAAGCAGAGGGAGCCGAGCTTGGGGACCCTGCGTTCCCATTCTGAAACATAAGGAAACTTGCCAAGGCCCAATTTCCCCAAGAGCTGCTCCCACTTTGTACCTCGCAACTCTGCTCCTGCTGCGGCCGCCGCTGGTTTCCACCCATAAAAGAAATTTTGAGTGAAATGTGCTTTTCACCTTGGATTCGATTTATTCGCTCGATTCACGGGCGTGCTGTGTGTGAGTGCTCACGCTTTAGTGCGCGCACCTCCATTTGGCTCTCGCACGTTCAGGTGAACTCGCTCAAAGCCCCTCGGGGAGTTTCCGGAGGCTTCCCCTAAAGATTAAGGAGACCTGAGAGAAGTGAAAGACCTTCCTCTTCGACGTGCTTACAGTCACCTCCTCCCTCCCCCTGGCTCGGCCTCAGGCTCCGGCACTGTTAAGCGCTCCGAGACATTGCTCTGCACGAAGAGTATATAAATGCAAGTTGTTGTTGTATCAGTTGGGCAAGCTAAACCCAGAGCAGAGTTGCAGTGAGCCTGCGCTGATCACAGCTTCCAGAACCTGACCCCATCTCCCCTGACCCCCACACCGACAAGATGTGAATGAAACTAGCCAGAGACGCCACACACGGCGATGGGAAAGGCTGGCGACGGCTTTACTTACTGAGGTGGCAGAGCGAGCGTGCTGGGCTGGACCTTGGGACGACGTTTCGCCGAGACTCCCATCTGCATAGCAGAACGTTTCAGCGACTGTTGGTTCAACAAGCTGGAGGCTAAGCCGGCATGGAACTGGAGCTGCAAAAGGGGAAGGAAGGGGGCAAGTCAGAGGAGGAGCAACGAGAGATATACTCTATAACTCAGCTATTCACAGCTGTTCAATTCCAGGCAGAGGGTGAAACCTTGGACAAGTTTCCTTACTCCACACACCTAATAATAATCCCTCCAAAACAAAACAATAATAAATTGATCATTTTCAATCCATGACTGTTTGTGGGACATTGCTGTGCGCAATTGGCTGCCGCGTTCGCCCACAAATATACAGTCAATTCACTTTACAGTATATTCTGTGAAGCGCTTTGGGACGTCTAGAAGACGTGGAAAGCACTATATCAAATGCAGGGATTATTATTATTATTATAAAAACATCACCGCCAGGGTGACGCTGGGAAACGGATCCTGCTAATGGGTCACCAGCCAATATGAGAATAAAGCACCCCTCATTGGCTTGTGTTGTACTGAAGCTAAAACACTGAGCTCCACACTGTCTTGAGTGGCAGTGTTGGGAGCAGGACTTTCAGGCACTACAGTTGGCTTCACACCACATGCTCCTACCCACCCAACTCCTACCCTGCTCTCCAGGGCGAGCAGTGTGCTGTCCAAGCCCCTCCCCTACTCCCAACCCCCTCTAACCTCGCCACCTCACCAAATACAGAGATACAGCAAACTTTGCGAGTTTCAGTCACACACCTATAATAATCTTTTCTATTTGACAGGGCGCCTTATCACGTCTTTGAGACGTCTCAAAGCGCTTCACGCAATATACTGTAAAGTAGATTGACCGTGTATTTTGTGGGCAAAACACAGCAGCCAATTGCTCATAGCAGTGTCCCACTCATGGATTGAATGACCAGATTATTATTATTTTTTGAAGGATTATTACCTTATTATTATTATTACACTGCTCTGTTGAATGAGATTTTTCAGCTTGTTGAAGATAGGTAGATAGTAATCGTCTTGCTTATTGGCTTACCCAACTCTTTGACAATATACTTAATAGACTCTCTGCCTGCGAAGCTCAGGAATTGACCATATACAGTGCTGCAGACCGCGGTCACTCTTGCGCCACTTTGTGGTGAGTTGCGTGTGAAGGGTTTTCAGCAATTGGCTGATACCTCACACACAGCACGTCTCAGCTTGGCGTCCAATTCATCATTTCACTTAATCAATAGAACCTTCAATTCAATAGCAGACATGACTGAACTCCCCACAGGGTTCAGTGCCAACATTGGGCTTCCAGTCACTACACCAAGTGTATCAATGACAAGCTATAATAATAATAATAATCCTTGCATTTGATATAGCGCTTTTCACGTCTTCTAGACGTCTCAAGGCGCTTCACAGAATAACAACAACAACAACCTGGATTTATATAGCGCCCTCCACGGCGGACGGCGTCTCAGAGCGCTTTACAGTAATGGATCCTGGGACCGAGCCAAAGGGGGTGGGGGGGGGAAGGTGACCAAAAGCACGGTCGAAAAGAAAGGTCTTCAGCAGAGACCTGAAAATGGGAAGGGAGGGAATAGACTGTAAAGTGAATTGACTGTATGTTTGTGGGCGAAACGCGGCAGCCAATTGCGTTTAAATAAATAAATAAAATTGAGTTTAAATAAATCAAATTTTAAAAAAAGCTATGCAGTTTTAGCTGGTTACATTCCAGCAGTTACCCCAACGTACACTCTGGGGTCCCCCGAGTCTTGGCTCTTGTCAACCTGCGGCTAATAGAGTTCTCAGCTTGGTTTGGATACTCTTAAGCACGGTGATGGGTTTCCACGTGTGTCAGACACCCGGTTGACCAAATAAAAACTACAGAGTTGTCCACTTCACTCAATGCTGGCGCTAGGCTGTCAGTCACTACATGGGACTGAGGCATTGCCCTGCTAGTTGCATTTGATATAGCGCCTAATCACGAAAAGTGCTTTATAGAATATACTGTAAAGTGGACTGAATGTATATTTTGTGGGCAAAAAGCTACTGCAATCTCCCGGAAAGCAATCTGCCAATCGACTAACAACAACAACAACTTGCATTTATACAGCTGAAAACCAAGTTCCTACAGCTAATCAGAGGCATGTGGAGAAAGGAAACTCCCAACATGAAAGACGCTATACAAATGTAATTTTGTTGTTTCTGTTGTTGTCTAAGGTTTCGCCCTGCCCAAGATTCGAACCTGGTCCTCTCTCTTGCAAGGCGATCGCACTAACTTCAGTAAGGACCAGACGTGGGGGAGAGGTGGGAGAGAAGGGTGGCCTGAGCATTATCCACAAGTACCTAAGTTTTTACAAAAGCTGCTTAATAATGGATTTGGTTAAAATGTTGGGTTTAGGGGTTTTGTTTCATTATTTAATCAGCTTCTAATTCACTTGACTCAGTGAAGGTCCCTAATGGACGTGGATCTATAGCAGAGCATAGGCCCGACACTGACAAAGATGCATGGCGTTCTTAATATAATCAACTTTGCTTTGACTGTTGGCTTCTGCTGGACTAACTGCTCATTCAGGAGCAATACATTTTTCATTTTGCTTGGATTTCTGTAATGGGAAATCAATTAACGTTGAGATGAACAAGTTCAAAAGACGGTGTTTCAAAAATGTCAGCAGCTTGTGTTTCGATCATTACCAGCTCGAAGCTGAGGCCTCGAGGGGTTTGCAGGAGCGTGGAGCAGGGAGGGAACGGGGGCCCACAGATGTTCCAGTGAGTTTCGGCGTCCCCGAGACACACACTGGTCACAGCACCAATGATCTGCACCCTGGTTACTGTGTCACTAAGCCGGAAAAACAGTCACAGCTCAGCCACAATAATAATAATCCTTGCATTTGATATAACACCTTATCATGTCTTTGAGGCATCTCAAAGGGCTTCACAGAATATCCTGTAAATTGAATTGAGTGTTTTTTGTGGGCAAATCCCGGCAGCCAATTGCGCACAGCAGTGTCCCAAAACAGTCGTGGATTGAGTGACCAAATTCTTATTTTTACTTTTTTGAAGGAATTATTACCCCCGGAAAAGCGATCTGCCAATCAACTAACAAACGGGTTCCTACTTACTGCTAAGTAAACAGAGACGTGTGGAGTAAGAAAACTTGCACAACGTTTTGTCCTACCAGGAATCGAACCCAGGTCTCTCACTTGCGAGGCGAGTACTCCAACCACTGAGCTCCAGGACAAGCTGTGATAACTTGGTTGACTCCAAACCACCAACTGCCCTCTCCTCTCGTTCGTTTGCCATTTCACAAAATCATTCACAAAATAAATCCTTTTTTTTTAAAATGTACTTATATTTCAAGATGAGCTCTGTCCTGTTTTAATGGTTATTATTAGACTGGGGTGGGGGGGGGGGAAGAGAGGCGGAATAATTCACCCAATGGCTTGTGCGAATTCTTTAACGTGACTACATATGATCTTTATATTTTAACGCTGTGTCTGACAATTCACATACACTGATTTCCCCGTCCACTCCATTCACAACATACCTGCTCCACCGTTCCCCCCACCAACCTCCTCTGCCCCACTCACCCACTGCCCTCCCCTCCCTCCCAGTTTCTTCTTGTTTGACTTCATGATTTTGCTCTCATTGTGCAACAGGCTGCAGGGCTCCAGGACAACAACAACTACCACTACTACTACTTGCATTTATATAGCGCCAATCACGCAGAGCAGAGTCCCAGACTAGAGACCTTGGGGCTCCGGCCTGTTGTACACTTAGATGACACGAAGACCTCCAGCACTAATCAATGCATAGATCGGCACCGTCCTTGCTCGCTGTTCGAGGGCAAGTGCTTCACACACAAAAAAAAAGCACCGGCAACAATTTCAACTTAAATAAATAAATATGAATTTAAATAGTAGAAACCAATAGTGACAGCACAGGCTCGTTACTCAGCAAGCGCTAGATTAAAAGGAAGGGCATACAGTACATCTGAGGTGTCAGGGCGAGCAGTGACTGACAATAGAGACTGTGGAATAATTACACTCAAGATCAAATAGAATGGAAGAGACAGACTCCCAGTTAGAGCCAAACACGCTGGTTAAAAGAAGTAGCAACTCTGGTAGCTCTCATGTGATTGCTTATAGCAAAATATTAGCGGTGTGACCTCCGACAAGGATTTGGCAGCAGCGGAGATGGACACAGAGGTTAGACCTAGGAATGTAATGTTAACCATTGGAATTGTTAACTACATTACAGGACACCAACCAGCCTTCAATTCGCTCTGTCCCCAGTGTCCTTCCCCTTTCCCTATAGCACGGCACATCTCCTCTTCTCTGCCACGTACCAGAGAGAGTGTGTGGAAAACTACCTGTGGGGATGGGAGAAAAGAACAATAACAAAAAAAGCCTGAACAGAGGATTTACTGAGCAGGCTCGGGACTTGAGGGGGAAGAGAGCAGACCAGTCGAGGCTAGACTTCCTGGTCACCCCCCCTTCCATAATTCTTCACAGAATCTCGTGTCTTATTTTTTAAAGTGACGGAAGCCAAAGCCTGCAGTCTGCTTTCAATTTTTCTAATGGCAGATCAACACCCTGCTCTTGGGCAGCCCATCCCTCCCTTTCCATCCCTGGGAACAGGTCATGGTGGGTAACTGCTCCGGCCTAGAGAGACATGACCAGCATCCGTCTACTTACTCACAGAACCAACACACACCAACATATACACACATACCGACACACACCAACATATACACACATACCGACACACACCAACATATACACACATACCGACACACACCAACATATACACACATACCGACACACACCAACATATGCACACATACCGACACACACCAACATATGCACACATACCGACACACACCAACATATGCACACATACCGACACACACCAACATATACACACATACCGACACACACCAACATATGCACACATACCAACACACACATAGCACACGTGCACAATTATGGGCTTCACTTCCATTTCACGTGCAGGGAGCAATTGATAACTCCCCTCAGAGTTTTGAGTTGATATTCAAGAATCAGCCACTGTCCGGTGGGTGGATGGGACCT